AAAGATCTAAATGCCTCCATAATATCCCTTGGTCACATTCTTTCACTGATTATTTTTGTTTGTGAAACGTTTGTATAACTCACCTTGGCCCAACTGAATTTAAGGTATTCTGGAGGTACTGGAGGCTAGTGGCTATGTCTGACATTCACTCAAACTTTTAATTAAAACAAACACTGAAAAAACCTGAACTTTCTTTAAGGCATTGCCCTGGTTTAGTCTGTCTCTAATGGTTAGTTATTCAAAGGCTGTTCAGGCTCATAACAATGAGGAGGTGAGACCCAGTCATACATTTATTTTTTAATAAGGTTGTTGTATTATTCCAAACCATCAGAGAACTCCTTATTAGACAACTTATTAGATATGCAAGGCACTTTCATCCTCGTACAATTTCTTCTTTTTTGTTACAGACAACATATTTTGTTGAAGTTATATCCTGTAGTTGAAGCCTCAGTGCCAGTCGGTTTGTGCTATCATACCAACTCCTAGTCACTTATTATCATGCCAATGTTATGGTTGGCTTGATAATGACAGCAATGAAGTTGGCATTGGCAAGACCACAAACAGAGATGGGACCAGGCTACCATAGTTGAACACTGGGGATAACATTGTAAAGAGACACCTCAAAACTAATCTGAAATGCAATACGCAAAATGGAAAATTGATTTTAAAAAATGTGTGCTACTATAGCACATAATAATTGCATTTCATGTTGATTACAGTACAATATAAATTTAAGTTTTACCTAACAGTTTTTTATGCGTTTGTCGCTAAATTCTTGTACAGTAGCAAGACCATGAGTTTGTCCATAAATTCACTTCTGATTATCAACTGTCAGAAACTACAGTAGATGTTAGAATAGCAAAATAAACGCTCCAGGGCCTTGGTCATAGTTAAGATAAGAGTTGTCAGCGAGACACCAACTAAGACAGTAACCAACATCACGCTGTGTGTGTGTCTGTCACGCGTCTTCTTATCAGGCCCCATGTGTACGCGTCGCCTGCATATCTAGAAAACACATGCAGTTAGGAGGATGTCCTCTTCTAGTACAGGTGTACAGGCCCTTAGTGATACAGTATACTGAGTTCACTAAGGGTTGTTTCAGAAGAGGAATATTAAATAATACTGTATTTCATCATATATACAGTAGTTGGCCTATGTGATTAGCTACCGGTGCCTTTAGAAGATGTTGAAATGAATATAAAAGATTCAGAAAAGCTTCTTTTTTTATGACTGATCAATGAAAGTAGAGTTTGGTAGGGGCTCAATCAAGACAAATTATAACTCAATATCACAGCTAAAGTTTGGGCCCTACTCAAAACCACATCAGGGAGTCTCCAAGGTAAACGAAACAACATTGATCCCTATCAAGGTCCAGGTGAGAGTCATTTTGTTTACTGAACATTTGTTTCAGGATTAGATTAGAATTTCTAATTCTCACACTCCTTTATTCGCTCCCTACACTGAACAAAACGTTCAGATTCCAGATTCCATTTAATTGAAAAGCCATTTCATTCAATATACTTTGTTCAAAATACATATTCAGTAGCAAGATTATCTTACCCCACATTATAAATAATCAATAATGACAGACTTCCGGGAGTATCAGGCCTTTGACCACTGCCAGTTACCTCTTAGTGTTCTGGTCTCTGCTAGGTACATACTGTATAAACCAGCCTGATACAGGCCTGCTGTTCAGGGAAGCCAGTGTGCACATGGAGTTATCTGATGCCCTTATAGCCTCAGATACACCTCATTACCACAATAATATTGGTCTATATGTGTCTATTTAAATTGATATAGACATAAACCAAACATTTGGTATGTTATCCAGCAGCATACAGTGAGGGAAACAAGTATTTGATCCCCTGCTGATTTTGTACGTTTGCCCACTGACAAAGACATGATCAGTCAGGTTTATTTGAACAGTGAGAGACAGAATCACAACAAAACAATCCAGAAAAATGCATGTCAAAAATGTTAGAAATTAATTTGCATTTTAATGAGGGAAATAAGTATTTGACCCCTCTGCAAAACATGACTTAGTACTTGGTGGCAAAACCCTTGTTGGCAATCACAGAGGTCAGACGTTTCTTGTAGTTGGCCACCAGGTTTGCACACATCTCAGGAGGGATTTTGTCCCACTCCTCTTTGCAGATCTTCTCCAAGTCATTAAGGTTTCGAGCCTGACGTTTGGCAACTCAAACCTTCAGCTCCCTCCACAGATTTTCTATGGGATTAAGGTCTGGAGACTGGCTAGGCCACTCCAGGACCTTCATGTGCTACTTCTTGAGCCTCCTCCTTTGTTGCCTTGGCCGTGTGTTTTGGGTCATTGTCATGCTGGAATACCCATCCACGACCGATTTTCAATGCCCTGGCTGAGGGAAGGTGGTTCTCACCCAAGATTTGACGGTACATGGCCCCGTCCATTGTCCGTTTGATGTGGTGAAGTTGTCCTGTCCCCTTTGCAGAAAAACACCCCCAAAGCATAATGTTTCCACCTCCATGTTTGACGGTGGGGATGGTGTTCTTGGGGTCATAGGCAGCATTCCTCCTCCTCCAAACACGGCGAGTTGAGTTGATGGCAAAGAGCTCGATTTTGGTCTCATCTGACCACAACACATTCACCCAGTTCTCCTCTGAATCATTCAAATGTTCATTGGCAAACTTCAGACGGGCCTGTATATGTGCTTTCTTGAGCGGGGGGACCTTGCGGGCGCTGCAGGATTTCAGTCCTTCACGGCGTAGTGTGTTACCAATTGTTTTCTTGCTGACTATGGTCCCAGCTGCCTTGAGATCATTGACAAGATCCTCCTGTGTAGTTCTGGGCTGATTCCTCACCGTTCTCATGATCATTGCAATTCCACGAGGTGAGATCTTGCATGGAGCCCCAGGCCGAGGGAGATTGACAGTTCTTTTGTGTTTCTTCCATTTGCGAATAATCGCACCAACTGTTGTCACCTTCTCACCAAGCTGCTTGGCAATGGTCTTGTAGCCCATTCCAGCCTTGTGTAGGTCTACAATCTTGTCCCTGACATCCTTGGATAGCTCTTTGGTCTTGGCCATGGTGGAGAGTTTGGAATCTGATTGCTTCTGTGGACAGGTGTCTTTTATACAGGTAACAAACTGAGATTAGGAGCACTCCCTTTAAGAGTGTGCTCCTAATCTCAGCTTGTTACCTGTATAAAAGACACATGGGAGCCAGACATCTTTCTGATTGAGAGGGGGTCAAATACTTATTTCCCTCATTAAAATGCAAATAAATTTATAACATTTTTGACATGCGTTTTTCTGGATTTTTTTGTTGTTATTCTGTCTCTCACTGTTCAAATAAACCTACCATTAAAATTATAGACTGATCATGTCTTTGTCAGTGGGCAAACGTACAAAATCAGCAGGGGATCAAATACTTTTTTCCCTCACTGTACCACCCTGCATCCTGATGCTGGCTTTCCTCTGAAGCTAAGCAGGGTTGGTCCCAGGATGGGAGACCAGATGCTGCTGGAAGTGGTGTTGGGGGTTCAGTAGAAGGCACTCTTTCCTCTAAAAAAAATATCCCAATACCCCAGGGCAGCAATTGGGGACATTGCCCTGTGTAGGGTGCCGTCTTTCCGATGGGACGTTAAACGGGTGTCCTGACTCTCTGTGGTCACTAAAGATCCCACAGCACTTATCGTAAGAGTAGGGGTGTTAACCTTGGTGTTTATTTAAGATCAATCACATCACCATCGACAGGAGTCAGGGCACCCAGTAGTACACTATCAACCCACACATCACCATCAACAGGACAACCAAGCCTCTATGTAGGCTGTAAATGAGTATCTTTTCTATTGCACTGACCTTAAATTCTATCAATAATGCACCAACTAAGTTGCAAGCTAGGGGTAGAAGATTTGGTACTGCAATTTGCATAGCCTTGGTACTCATCTCAACATTATTAGGTTACATGAATTATGTCTGTTTAAATGGGTTAAAATTATAATTTGTTTTTCCAAACATACATATTTAAATACATGTTAATTAATGCATTACAGACAGTGGATAGGGCAATATCCACCCCAAGATGCACATGCAGTTCAGGCTATGCTCAAACCCTACCTCCTAACCTGAGCACTCCGTTCAGCCACCCCTGGTCTGCAAAAACGTAACTTACACATAGAAATAGCGCACATAAAACATATATATCGCTTCTTAGACTTGCTTTCAATGAGAATGACAGATCTATAACTCACATTTCAATGTGAATTTGGTCTGGTCGCCCAAAAAGTTACATATAAATTTTTTAAATGTTGTATATATCTGTCTTTTGACTACAAAAAAATGTCAACCATGACCTACAGTATTTGTGGTTTCCCTGACCTTCTCTAATGTATAATGTTGTTTGAAATGAATACTGCTATATCAGTTCTGCTTTGTAATGTGTTCTCAGGGCAAGTCGTATTATTCTGTAAGTAAATCTCTGACACTACATTAAGTATGATATATTACATTACTTTAGGTTGCATTATGAATGGAATAGCGGTCGTACAATATCATACGAATTATAGGAAGTATATCATCATACGTCTTACCCGGTTGTACAGTACAATAGCATACGAATTGGATGACTTAACTTATCATACATCTTGGAGGATGTATAGGATTATACGGAGGACGTAAAGTACTATTCCACTTTCTCTGAGAACAGGTTGCTTGTTGCGCAGTAACAACAAAGGAGATCTCTTCTAACAACAAAAAATGGCAACCAAATTTCTTTTTTTCAGGTTTTCCTCTTAACCCTCTAATGCAACATGTTGTTTGTGACAAACAATCAAATGCACGGGACTCTCTGCTGCCTTTGGGACAGCTTCATGCCAGATGTCATATGTCAAGGTGTCAGAGGGCAGGAAGGGGGAGGGAGGGTTTGTCGCTGGGTAGGGCAACAGCTGGCACACACTGGGGACACACCTCTCCTCTGTCCCATATATATACCTGTACTGGTACAGCCTGTATTCTCAGGGTCACAGCCACACTCAGGGCAGGTCAAAGAACATCACTCTCTCAGCACTCACTCAGCCACCACCATGGGGAATTGCAGCCAGGGATGCCAAGACTTCATCTCTCGGCCTAAGAACACCAACATCCGTCTTAGACTGCCGGTAGTCTGCTTCGTCTGGCAGATCGCCATGATCATCCTCTTCGGAGTATTCATCCGCTACAATGAGGAGTCGGACGCACACTGGGTAGAAACCAAGGCCCATGACAACATCACCAGCGACATAGAGAATGACTTCTACTTCAGATACCCCAGTAAGTACATTCATAATCACTGGTACTGCCTGGTGCATCCTTTAGGTTGACAATATACAGTAAATGTATGATTCATGGTTTCATCTTCATTGCAATGATAAAGAATCAGGTTATTAATAAGTGGCATGCTTGCTGTTTGATCAGATAATAACTTTTGATCTCTATGATGTTTGACAATTTCCCCTGTGAAATCCCCTAGACAACAATCTCAGTCTCAGTTATTTTGAAAGCATCTATTCATTAATGGACTAATGCAGTGACAGTCCAAATTTGCCTCTCTAACTTGGGTTAAAACTACGTATCCTCTTTACCAAATGTTGGTCAGTGGTTATTTCCAATTTGTCTGATTCTAGCTTGGTTTATACCAGCTTCTGATGGTGCATCTTTGCTGATAGCCAGGCTGAATGAGTGACAAGTTAAGTTTGATAATTGTGATGTTATGTGGCATCTGTTTCATCTTGTAATATGATGTGTTTTGATTTGTCAGGGATTATATCCTACCTTTAGCTCTGGCATGTAAACTGATAGGGTGTGTCTCCTAAACCTGCTAATCTGATGATGACATATCCAATTGAACATGTCGTGTTAACAACTTTAAAACTTTGACCAAATGGTACAGAACATCAGGGCTGGTTTGATCAAAAACTATGCAACTACTGAGAGCCCCTTGAATTGGATGCAATAACATGTTGCATTAACTATTAGGATTTATTTCACACTTTGAATAATGATCTCGCCCCCCCCCCTCTCTCTCTCTCTCGCTCTCTCTCTCCATCTAACCCTCCTCTCTCCAGGCTTCCAGGATGTCCATGTGATGATCTTTGTGGGTTTCGGGTTCCTCATGACTTTCCTGAAGAGGTACAGCTTCGGCGGGGTCGGCTTCAACTTCCTCATTGCCTCCTTCGGCCTGCAGTGGGCTCTACTCATGCAAGGCTGGTTCCACTCTCTAGACCCCCAGACTGGAAAGATCTACATCGGTATTGAAAGGTATGCAAGTGCACTGATGTGCATCTATGAGGCTGCAATTTTTTCAGTAATTAGAGTGAGAACTGATGAGGTATGCACACATAGGATCATACTGAGACAATGGCAGAATGGTTATAAGAGAAATAGACTGTACCATAGACTCTATTAGGGTTACGCAAGCTGTCACCATGGGTTAAGCAGTGATGGGTTAAACCAGGGATGGGCAACTGGCGGCCCACGGGCTTCATGCGACCCGCGACCTCCCTTTTGTAAGCCTGCGGACAAATAAATAAAATATATTAATCATATTATTATTTTATTTTATTTATTTTTTGGGGGGGGGGGGACTCAGTCAGGGTCTCAACTTACTATTGAGAGTTAGAATAATAGAATACACAAGGTGCAATTTCAAAATGTGCATCAGCAGTCACTGAAAGAAAGCCAAGACCTTAAGGATTACTTACTGATCTAGTCATTCAGGTTTTAGTACTGTATGCATGACGGACTCTCTCACATGACTCTCCGTTAATAGTCATAACGCATCTCTGTCTCCACCCCACCCACCTGTGTCCTCTATCTGCAGTCTGATCAATGCTGACTTCTGTGTGGCGGGCTGTCTCATAGCCTACGGGGCAGTGCTGGGCAAAGTCAGCCCGGTCCAGCTGTTGGTTATGACCCTGTTTGGTGTCACTCTGTTCGCTGTGGAAGAGTACATCATCCTGAACCTACTTCATGTGAGTCCCATCAAGCACTCTCTGGACGTACAACTATTAAATCATACACACTGTATTAACCATGGTTGGATTAATGGAATTCACCCTATAACCTTGATATAGTAACTTGTTTATGTAACCTCAATGGCCTTTGACATCTGCCTACAGCCACGTAATCACAAGGTTTGGTACACATGCTAACAAATGACTGTTTCTGTCCCCACAGGCTAGAGATGCAGGTGGCTCTATGGTTATTCACACCTTTGGAGGTTATTATGGTCTGGCCATCTCCTGGGTCCTTTACCGACCTAATTTACACCAGAGCAAGCGTATGCAGGGCTCTGTGTACCACTCCGATACTTTCGCCATGATCGGTGAGTTGCCTGTCGGAGTCAGTAGTCGTTCATTGCATAAACATATGAATGGTTCTGATTTGCCTTGTGTGTGTTTCACTCTCTATGGTGATGGTGACCTATCTTTAGTTTGTAGAAGTTTCTGTCATGGCACTGTTCCTGTTCTGACACAGTTCCTGTTCTGAAGTGTGTGTGGTGATCAGGTGTGTTTGGTGTGTTTTAACTGTGTGGTCCCTTCTCTCTCCTCAGGCACACTGTTCCTGTGGATGTTCTGGCCCAGTTTCAACTCGGCCATCACTGACCATGGAGACGGTCAGCACAGGGCAGTCATCAACACCTACCTGGGCTTGGCCTCTACTGTCCTCACCACAGTGGCCATCTCCAGCCTCTCCCAGAAGAATGGCAAGCTTGATATGGTAAGGAACCATTACTGTGTGTGTGTGTGTGTGTGTGTGTGTTTGCACGTACACATGTAACATTCTCTGTAACTTTGTATTTGTGACACTAACTGACAACCTCTCAGTCTACATAATCCTCCTCTGCTCTCATCTCATTGACTGACATGTATTCGAGTCTCATGACTGGTGCTCTCTCTTGCATAACAGGTTCATATCCAGAATTCCACCCTAGCGGGGGGTGTTGCCTTGGGGACAGCGGCTGAGTTTATGGTCTCTCCCTACGGCGCTCTGATCGTGGGGTTCTTCTGCGGCATAATCTCTACCGTGGGCTACCTCTTCATTTCTGTGAGTCTCACCCCTGGGCACCATCCACTCACAGCTTGAAGCTAGAATGGCTTGTTTTGTAGGCGTAGTAGGTTCTGTCCAAAGAAAGTTATTACAAAACACAAAACGATTATTTACCTCTTATGAATGATGTTGGGGGCACACTCAAAAAAGAATGTATAGCACTCTAAATGGCTGCCTAATCTTTATTGGGCAGATTCCTTTGCCATAAACGGTAGCACACTATTTGGGGCTGTGTACGGGTGTGTTGTTAAAACTTGACCTGTCTCCTTCCAGCCCTTCTTGGAGAAGACACTGAAGATCCAGGACACGTGTGGAATACACAACCTGCACGCCATGCCTGGGGTGATTGGCGGGATAGTTGGAGCCATCACTGCTGCGGCTGCCAGCGAGTCAGTCTACGGAAAGCAGGGGTGAGTCAAAAGACCTGAGGGCCTGAGGCTACACTGTCAAACCACACAAACCTGAACATGTACCCTTGTTACTAGACAATCAGAACACAGATTCACCCACACCCTCTCATCAACCAATCATATCACACAGTTACTGTATGTCACAGGACATATCTTAAACGATTAATGTCATTTTACACCAAACAATTTATGTCACAGTCACAGTTTAGACTGTAATCCAACAGTTAGTTTGGCATTTATTTGGAAATATACATAATCATTAGAAGACTCAACATAAAGCTTAAAATGGGACACAATCTGACTCTATATATTGTTATTTTCCGACCAGGTTGATCAACACGTTTGACTTCACTGGAGACTTTAAGAACAGAACCGTGTTAACTCAGGGTGGATACCAGGCCGCTGGCATGTGTGTGTCCATCGTCTTCGGGATTGTAGGCGGAGCTATAGTCGGTGAGTTTGGCCGAGATAGCATAGCTCAGAGATAGAGAGGAGCCATGGGCATATAAAGGGTGACCTAGAGGTGACATGGGTGCTATAGGGGGTGACGTACCTGAAGGAGAGAGACTGAAGTTGACACTATCTCCTCTGTTCACAGGTTCCATCCTGAAGTTACCCATCTGGGGCGATCCTGCGGATGAGAACTGCTTCGATGATGAGATGTACTGGGAGGTAAGGGAACCAGCCACTCTTCACCGGATGTTCACAATATAACCACTAGGTGGTGCCATTGTCTTTGATTTAGTCTCACGTGACGAACTACAGACCACCTTAGAGATCTACACTACCCTTCAAAAGTTTGGACACACCTACTCATTCAAGGGTTTTTCTTTATTTGTACTATTTTCTACATTGTAGAATAATAGTGAAGACATCAAAACTATGAAATAACACATATGGAATCATGTAGTAACCAAAAAAGTGTTAAACAAATCAAAATATATTTGAGATTCTTCAAATAGCCACCTTTTGCCTTGATGGACAGCTTTGCACACTCTTGGCATTCTCTCAACCAGCTTCATGAGGTAGTCACCTGGAATGCATTTCAATTAACAGGTGTGCCTTCTTAAAAGTGAATTTGTGGAATTTATTTCCTTGTTAATGTGTTTGAACCAATCAGTTGTTTTGTGACAAGGAAGGGGTGGTATTCAGAAGATAGCCCTATTTGGTAAAAGACCAAGTCCATGTTATGGCAAGAACAGCTCAAATAAGCAAAGAGAAATGACAGTCCATCATTACTTTAAGACATGAAGGTCAGTCAATACTGAAAATCTCAAGAACTTTGAAAGTTTCTTCAAGTGCAATCGCAAAATCCATCAAGCGCTATGATGAAACTGGCTCTAATGAAGACCGCCACAGGAATGGAAGACCCAGAGTTACCTCTGCTGCAGAGGATACGTTTATTAGCCTCAGAAATTGCAGCCCAAATAAATGCTTCACAGGGTTCAAGTAACAGACACATCTCAACATCAACTGTTCAGAGGGAACTGTGTGAATCAGGCCTTCATGGTCGAATTGCTGCAAAGAAACCACTACTAAAGGACACCAATAATAAGAAGAGACCTGCTTGGGCCAAGAAACATGAGCAATGGACATTAGACCGGTGTAAATTTGTCCTTTGGTCTGGAGTCCAAATTGGAGATTTTTGGTTCAAACCGCTGTGTCTTTGTGAGACGCGGTGTGGGTGGACGGATGATCTCCGCATGTGTATTTCCCACTGTAAAGCATGGAGGAGGAGGTGTTATGGTGTGGGGGTGTTTTGCTGGTGACACTGTCTGTGGTTTATTTAGAATTCAAGACATACTTAACCAGCATGGCTACCACAGCATTCTGCAGCGATTCGCCATCCCATCTGGTTTGGGCTTAGTGGGACCCAACACACCTCCAGGCTGTGTAAGGGATATTTTACTAAGACGGAGAGTGATGGAGTGCTTCATCAGATGACCTGGCCTAAACAATCCCCCGACCTCAACCCAATTGAGATGGTTTGGGATGAGTAGGATGGCAGCGTGAAGGAAAAGCAGCCAACAAGTGCTCAGCGTATGTGGGAACTCCTTCAAGACTGTTGGAAAAGCATTCCAGGTGAAGCTGGTTGAGAGAATGCCAAGAGTGTGCAAAGCTGTCATCAAGGCAAAGAAAGGGTGGCTATTTGAAGAATCTCAAATATAAAATATATTTGATTTGTTTAACACTTTTTTGGTTACTACATGATTCCATATGTGTTATTTCATAGTTTTGATGTCTTCACTATTATTCTACAATGTAGAAAATAGTACAAATAAAGAAAAACCCTTGAATGAGTAGGTGTGTCCAAACTTTTGACTGGTACTGTACATCTGAATTGTTATGATTTAAAAGGAGAAAAAAATGAAAAAACTATCAACTATAGTAGTCAATAAAACTATTGCATTAAATTTAAGTATGACAATAAAACTGAAATCACCTATGATTTCTTCACAGCTCCCTGATGAAGATGAAGAGCATCAGGAGAGCATCCCTCCCATTCTGGAGTACAACAACCACATTATCCACAAGCAGCAAGACCTGTAAGTCCATTCAGCATGCTCTGTTTGATCATATCACAAAAATAGTGTGATATGTTGAAGTTATAATCAAGGATTAGTTTTAAATACAGTACTTGTTTATAGATAATCCTTTCTCAAACCATTATGGTCTCTGTTGATTGTAATGACTAATCATTCCACAAGATGGAGTACTGTAGGAAAAAATGTGTGTTTCACATTCTAAGTCTGTGATTTTCTTTGTCTCTTCACAGATCTGAGTCCAACTTCTCTGTAGAAAACTGTGAAAGCTAAATACAGAAATGTTAGGACACCACTACCCAAACACGTGCTGCTGGACCACGGAACAACCACGGACCAACCACGGAAATCCAACAGACAACTGCACTCCCCCTAAATGAAGACACCTAAACAAGGCACCTTTAAGACACGCTTTATTGAATCTTATGTTAAGGTCATTAGATACATTTGAAGCCATTTGATACTGTATGTGCCTCCGTCCCCCGCCACCCACACCATTAGATCACATAGACACTTCCTGGATGGTTATGTACTGTCATGAAGCACTGTGTGCTGAATTCTGGCAAAATGCTGATCTATTGAAAGGACCTCAAAGATCTGCACTTAATCCACATTATGGATGTCCAACTATAACCTACTACACAAAATGGCCAATAAAGCTTTTCCTGAGCATTGGTATACTCTGTAATATATGTATTTACACAAAACAATCACACGTTGTGAAATCTTTGATCACAACCACTCTGAATTGAATGAGGATGAGGAAATGATTTTTTATGAAATTACTTTGACCAATCCTCATTTTGTAGCCTTGTATGTTTTCTTTTGTCTGAGAAAAATGTGTTTTAATACAGCTGGTGCATATGTAAGGAGGAAAGTAATTTTACTTTTAGTTAATCGTGAATATCTTGTTTATAGTGCTTTGTAAAAACCCAAAAGGGTTTTGCTCTATTTTCCCAATGCAGGAGTACCATTTGAGCCCCCAATGTGATCATTTTCTTTGTTTGGGATAAAGATTTACAGTATTTAACCAAGGAGTCAGTGATGAGTAATAGAAGTACATTTAAACTTTACTTGAAAGTTTTTGGTAACCTAATGTATTTAAACAGCTTTTAAAGCTATGTATATGCAAACACATTTTCATCACTATCTCTAATGATTGAATGGATCCCCTGCCTTCTGAGATGCCCTCTATGTCTTCCACCTCTTAATTATGTTTTTACTGTACTGTTGTCTGAGTGACAGAAGTTATTTAGATGTTTTATGTAAATCTTATTCTATACATAAAATCATGTTTATTTAAATGTTGCTACTCATATAACTTAATAAATCAAATGTGATGTGAGATATACCATGTTTGCCTCTTCTCCTTGAAGATAGCTCCACAGCCTTGCAAGATGGATGTTAGGATGTGTATATCTGATGTCATGCTCAGTGTGAATGAGAAGATACTGTACACAAGATGTACATACAGACCAGCATGATCAACATGTACCGTCACAGGTGGGACCTTTTGAATATCCACCACTATGGTGAGGTAATGAAGGGCTTAAATCAATGACCTGCTATCCTTTTAAAAGGCAACTGCAGTCAGGAATTTTGGAGAGGGCAAATGCTTTTCACTGCACACAAAATTGCTTTTTCGCAAGCAGGTTAGGAAAATTAACATAGCACGTTAGGAGACTGAGGTTAAGGTTAAGATAAAGGATTTGGGTTAGAGTTAGCAAAAATGATCTCCTAACCTGCTACGAAAATCTGTATCGAAGTGCCGTGAAAAGTGTGTCCCCCTTTTGGAGAGACTACTACTATGGGGCCTACACCATTTTACCATGTCTGGTTGAGGATGATGAATTGTTTGATGATTGTTTGAAAGTTATGGTAAGTCTTCTATTTCAAATCAGTAATATTATTGAAATTGTTTTGAATATATGAATCATGTCAATGTAATTGACTGTAGGTATAACAAGATGCTTTGGGACAGGCTACAACTAAGGAGAGTTTGAAAGGAGGTTTATTATGTAAGTTGCCTCTGAAATTGATCTAATGTCTGTACAGTGAGGGAAAAAAGTATTTGATCCCCTGCTGATTTTGTACGTTTGCCCACTGACAAAGACATGATCAGTCTATACTTTTAATGGTAGGTTTATTTGAACAGTGAGAGACAGAATAACAACAAAAAAATACAGAAAAACGCATGTCAAAAATGTTATAAATGATTTGCATTTTACATGAGGGAAATAAGTATTTGACCCCCTCTCAATCAGAAAGATTTCTGGCTCCCAGGTATCTTTTATACAGGTATAAAAGATACCTTTTATACAGGCTCCTAATCTCAGTTTGTTACCTGTATAAAAGACACCTGTCCACAGAAGCAATCAATCAATCAGATTCCAAACTCTCCCACCATGGCCAAGACCAAAGAGCTCTCAAGGATGTCAGGGACAAGATTGTAGACCCTACACAAGGCTGGAATGGGCTACAAGACCATCGCAAGCAGCTGGTGAGAAGGTGACAACAGTTGAAGCGATTATTCGCAATGGAAGAAGAAACACAAAATAACTGTCAATCTCCCTCGGCCTGGGCTCCATGCAGATCTCACCTTGTGGAGTTGCAATGATCATGAGAACGGTGAGGAATCAGCCCAGGAACTACACGGGAGGATCTTGTCAATGATCTCAAGCAGCTGGGACCCTAGTCACCAAGAAAACAATTGGTAACGGCACTCCGCAGTTGAAGGACATGAAATGTGCAAACCTGGTGGCCAACTACAAGAAACATCTGACCTCTGTGATTGCCAACAATGGTTTTGCCACCAAGTACTAAGTCATGTTTTGCAGAGGGGTCAAATACTTATTTCCCTGCTTATTTCTCTGCTTATTTTTTGAGTGCTCCAACTTGTTTAACAGGAATGACTCATTTTTGGCTAGTGCTTCAGTGGTAACTTAAAGGTGGGTTTGAAAAGTGTGTTGCGCTCAAGTCTTTTCCTCATAGAAGTGCTGTGAGTCATTTGCGTGCTGTGAATCACTATTACTCTGAGCATACCTACCAGGAATCAGCTTTGGACCTTTATTGTGTGATGCCATTGCTCACCCTGTGTTAAAATCTGAGCTAGTAAAAAAAACTAAAAATGCTCCAGTGCCTTGAGCCACAACCAATCTGAGAGGTACAGTTGAAGTCGGATATTTACATACACTTTAGCCAAATACATTTAAACTCAGTTTTTCACAATTCCTGACATTTAATCCTAGTAAGAATGTCCTGTTTTAGGTAAGTTAGGATCACCACTTTATTTTCAGAATGTGAAATGTCAGAATAATAGTAGAGAGAATGATTTATTTCAGCTTTTATTTCTTTCATCACATTCCCAGTGGGTCAGAAGTTTACATACACTTTCGGGTAGCCTTCCACAAGCTTCCCACAATAAGTTGGGTGAATTTTGGCCCATTCCTCCTGTGGGTCAGACGTTTACATACACTCAATTAGTATTTGGTAGCATTGCCTTTAAATTGTTTAACTTGGGTCAAACGTTTCGGGTAGCCTTCCACAAGCTTCCCACAATAAGTTGGGTGAATTTTGGCCCATTCCTCCTGACAGAGCTGGTGTAACTGAGTCAGGTTTGTAGGCCTCCTTGCTCGCACATGCTTTTTCAGTTCTGCCCACACATTTTCTATAGGATTGAGGTCAGGGCTTTGTGATGGCCACATCAATACCTTGACTTTGTTGTCCTTAAGTCATTTTGCCACAACTTTGGAAGTATGCTTGGGGTCATTGTCCATTTGGAAGACTCATTTGCGACCAAGCTTTAACTTCCTGACTGATGTCTTGAGATGTTGCTTCAATATATCCACATAATTTTCCTTCCTCATGATTCCATCTATTTTGTGAAGTGCACCATTCTCTCCTGCAGCAAAGCACCCCCACAGCATGATGCTGCCACCCCCGTGCTAAACAGTTGGGATGGTGTTCTTCGGCTTGCAAGCTATCCCCTTTTTCCTCCAAACATAACGATGGTCATTATGGCCAAGCAGTTGTATTTTTGTTTCATCAGACCAGAGGACATTTCTCCAAAAAGTACGATCTTTGTCCCCATGTGCAGTTGCAAACCATAGTCTGGCTTTTTTGTGGCAGTTTTGGAGCAGTGGCTTCTTCCTTGCTGAGCGGCCTTTCAGTTTATGTCGAAATAGGACTCGTTGTACCTGTTTCCTCCAGCATCTTCACAAGGTCCTTTGCTGTTGTTCTTGGATTGATTTGCACTTTTCGCACCGAAGTACGTTCATCTCTAGGGGACAGAATGCGTCTCCTTCCTGAGCGGTATGACGGCTGCGTGGTCCCATGGTGTTTATACTTGCATACTATTGTTTGTACAGATGAACGTGGTACCTTCAGGCGTTTGGAAATTGCTCCCAAGGATGAACCAGACTTGTGAAGGTCTACAAACTTTTTTCTGAGGTCTTGGCTGATTTCTTTTGATTTTCCCATGATATTAAGTAAAGAGGCACTGAGTTTGAAGGTAGGCCTTGAAATACATCCACAGGTACACCTCCAATTGACTCAACTGATGTCAATTAGCCTATCAGAAGCTTGAATTTTCCTAGCTGTTTAAAGGCACAATCAACTTCTGACCCACTGGAATTGTGTTACAGTGAATTATAAGTGAAATAATCTGTCTCTAAACAATTGTTGGAAAAATTACTTATGTAATGCACAAAGTAGATGTCCTAACCAACTTGCCAAAACTATAGTTTGTTAACAAGAAATTTGTGGAGTGGTTGAAAAATGAGTTTTAATGACTCCAACCTAAGTGTATGTAAACTTCCGACTTCAACTGTATGTAGCAGGGTACTCTGTCCTGTCACACGAGGCACACGCCGATGTCATTGTCACCTACTCTGGCCACTTCCCCCGGTCAAAGGTGGGAGTTGGAGGGTCTTAGAGAGGTTAATCCAGGGGCCTGAGGGGCTGTATTACATAACCAGATACGCTTGTTTAGCCTTATAGGCCAACATGTTAGAGGTTAAAGGTTAGATCAATCACTGTCACACTCGATGAAGTGAAGAGCACCCCTCTGACTAACTGTCAGAGGCCTGGTGTTAACCCTACCATCTGTTACTCTCAGCCACGTCCCTCCCCTCATCTCTCACCCTGTGTTTTCTGTGAACAGGTATTATTTTAATGTTTTGCTGTGTATTTTAATGTGTATATGGATGTGTAGTTCAATGTGTATATTGTATTTTGATGTGTATAGTTGTGCTAAACAGGGCACATCTGGAAAAGAGACCTTGGTCTCAGCATGACTCCCTGTCAAAATAAAGGTTAAATACGCACCTGATGTGGACTATGTCCTGTGTCTTCTGTCTGAGACTCTCTATGATATCTTCATTATAGGTCTGACAAACATGAGTATCACCATCATTGTACCAAGGAGCCATGAATAACTCTCACTTTCACACTCACATGCCCATAGGCATTTCTATTTCAAGAGTATCTGCATCAGGTCAAAGAGAGGGGTTATTAGTATGACTATAAACACAGACAGAAAGCAGACCATGTCATTGCTCACTGAGCATAATGTGTGGGTGTGGTGGGTTAAGGAGAGAGGCTGAGCTGGCCTGATAGAGGTCTGTGGCCTGTCCATTTTGGTCAGGGCCAACCTTTCCAATCCCAGTATTCTCATGGTAATGAGGCCTAACAGAGATCCCGGTCGCTGGCCAGACCAGTCAATAGGGTCATTTCCTGATCCATCACCATGGTGTTTAATGAACTCTAAACACTCAGTGTGGACACTAGCTTTGTGCCTGCCTGACAAACCAGCTGGTTTTATAGAGCTTTATTGAGTGAAGTGTTCACTATAAATTATGATTTTTATATTTAAGCTTAATTATGAGGTTACTTCTCTCAACTATCAGTTGGAACATAGTAGTTTACTGAATATTTAACAAGGGACCCTTTATTCACAATGGAAATTCTATTCCCACAGGGGGTTGGAAAAAAAAATAATGTATGCATTCACTAACTGTAAGTCGCTCTGGATAAGAGCGTCTGCTAAATGACTAAAACAGGAATGAGTGGCAGGATATACTGTATATATCTGCATTTGGAAAGAATTGGACAGCTTCCTCATAATGAATCTACT